GGGTTGAAGGTTGAGTCATAAAGCCCTATGGCCCAAGCTGCAGACCAGGGTTGAAGGTTGAGTCATAAAGCCCTATGGCCCAAGCTGCAGACCAGAGTTGAAGTCCCCAGGGCCCGCATAAATGAGTGGACTTGGCCAAGGAGATGGGAAAGCTAGCTATCCAGATGACCCTTCGACCAGCTGTGGCTTTGGTCCTAACATTAGCCATATGTAGCTGTTTGGTGGCGCTCAAGTGACCACTCAGAAGCCACTAGGGCTGTACAAGGGCTTCTGATGCCTCAGAAATTTGCAAGTTGTTATTTATGCTGAGATTCTTGTTCCTCACTGGCAAGAGGCTTCAACCCGATTCCTGGATGAGGGACTTGTCTTATTTAGGGTTTCTATTGCTGTGAAGAGACACCATGACCACAGCAACTCTGATAAAGGAAAACATTTAATTGGGTGGCTTACAGTGCAGAGGTTCAGTCCATTATCATCATGGTGGGACATGGCGGTGGGCAGACAGACATGGTGCTGGACAGGTAGCTGGGAATTCTACATCTTGTGCAGGCAACAGGAAGTGGTCTACCTCACTGGGAGTGGCTTGAGCATATATGAGACCTCAAAGCCCACCTCCACAGTGACACACTTCCTCCAACAAGGCCACACCTACTCCAACAAGGCCATGCCTCCTAATAGTGCCACTCCCGTAGGCCAGAGACAAAGCAGGAGAGGCAAAGGCTGTTGGCCCATGCTGAGAAGAAAGCTGCTGGCAAAGGGGACGTCCCAACTAAGAGAACACCTGTCCTCGGAGTGGGGGTCAATACAGTCACCACCTTGGTGGAGAACAAGAAGGTTCAGCTGGTGGTGATTGCTCACGATGTAGACCTCATTGAGCTGGTGGTCTGCCTGCCTGCCCTGTGCCGAAAGATGGGGGTCCCCTACTGCATCATCAAGGGAAAGGCCAGGCTGGGGCGGCTGGTCCACAGGAAGACATGCACCACTGTTGCCTTCACACAGGTTAACTCGGAAGGCAAGGGTGCTCTGGCTAAGCTGGTGGACACTATTAGGACCAATTACAACAACAGATATGATGAGATCCGCCGCCACTGGGGGGCAACGCCCTGGGTCCTAAATCTGTGGCTCTGATTGCCAAGTTGGAAAAGGCAAAGGCCAAAGAACTCGCCACTGAATTGGGTTAAATGTACACTGCTAACTTTTCTGTATATAAATATAATTACAAACTTATCTTCCAAAAAATAAAAATTAAAAATAAATAAATAAATAAATGGCTAAAAATTAGGGTCACAGACATAAGAACCAAATACTAACCAGAAACTGGGATCTTCATTTTTTGTGATGCGGCAAGACAATGAATGACCTAAGCAGTCCAGCAAAGGGCTTGGAACAGCTTCTGACTCCATGAGTCTCGTGACCCTTTGCGGTTTGAAAAACCTTTTTACAGGGGTAGCCTAGGACCACCTGCATGTTAGATATTTGCATTGAGATTCATAACAATGGCAAAGCTGCAGTTATGAAATAGCAAGGGGAAAATTTTATAATGGGGGAGGGGATCACCACAACATGGGGGAACTATCTTGAAAGGTCAAAGCATTAGGGAGAACCAGTGGCTCGGAGAATGTTTCTCCTTACTCAAGATCTATTCAGGCTTAAGAATGTAGGTCTAGTCTTCAGCAGTAAATAGAATGGTCCTGAATTCAGAAGCTAGCCAGATAATAATTGAGTCTTTGGCTTTTGAGAACGTGAATGCAACATGCAAAAGAATAATCAAGCCGTTAAAGGCAAGATCTGCACACTTGGAGGATTGGATTAGAGACACAATTAATGTTGAGTCTCATGACCATGATGATATGTGGATAGGAGAAGCAATTTCAAAAGGTTTGAGGAATGTCAGATGTTTTGGGTGTGGAAAACTAGGTCATTTGAAAATGGAATGTAAACAGTGCATCCCTAGAAAAAGTATTTATTCCAGGAACAGCAACAGAATGCCCCTCCCTTCTGGAGTCTGCAGAAGCCGTGGTAAGGGTAAACATTGGACCAACAAATGTAGATCAGCAAAGGACAGACAAGGTAATCCTTTGCCTCTGTCCTCGGGAAACTCCCACAGGGGCCTAAGGCAGGCCCCCACAGCAAATCCAGTTCAGATGGTTCCCGCCATGATAGAAGAAACCCCTACTCAGAGCAATTAAATAACCAAATGCCCATTGGAATAAACCAGGCTGCTCAGGGTGATAGAACAGCTGAGGCAGAGAGAATAGAAAAACCAGGAGAAGCCATAAAGCAAATTTTATGGCAAACTTCTATAAATGAACAAAGACCAAAATTAACAATATGAATAAATGATGTTTTGTTGTCTGGTTTAGTAGACACAGAGCCGTGACAATAATTGCACCAGAATTTTGGCATCCAACTTGGCCTCTTCAGGAGGTAAACATTCAGCTGTTAGGGATTGGAACATTATCTCAAGTGAAACGGAGTGTAAGATGGCTCGAATGTATAGGTCCAAAAGAACAAGAGAGGAAAATTAAAGCCATATGTGGCTAACATAGCTATGAACTTATGGGGCCGTGATCTATTACAACAATGGAA